GAAGATCAGGGCCTGCAGCCCATTCATTTTGCCTGCAGTGTTCATGGAACTCTGGCGTTTGGCACATGTTGTAGCCAGGGCATTACATTTGCATCTCACAACTGGCTGAGGACACATCTCTGAGGTGAAATGTCAGCCCACTCCATCTATGAAGTCCCCCACATGCTCCTAGAGGTCAGGGGGTGCTACACAGAGACAAGCAAACTTTACATTTTGTTAAATGTTGATAACTACTATTGACTTTGAGGGCACTGAAGTAGCAGGGGAGCAGAAGTCAAATTAAGTATAGGGTGGCTATACTCAGAATGTGGTGTGGAGTGGTATTAGGATTTTTTTTTAAAGATATAGGGGACTTAAGGTCTGGGGGCTTCGTCTCCCCAAAAGAATTTGAATAAGAAGTATTTGACAGACCTGTGCATATCTACCTGGTATGATTTCAAACAAATGTACAGTAGGTATTGCATTGACCCTGATATACCTGTATGGATCCTTGATAATTGGCTAAACTAGATTTAACTAGACAGCTTTAACTTTTAGGCTCTGTTCACACTTGTGCAGGTACTAGGGCACACCTTACCCTTTAATACGTCGTGTATGGCAGCCCATCCATTTCAATGTGCTGCCCTACAGGTGACAATTGCACCAAAGAAGTTCCACACCAAAACACAAGGTACTTTGTTTTCATACCTTTTGGTACAAAAGGCACGGAAACATGCACATGGTGCAGCAAGGTGCATTTGGGTTCCATTGTAAATGGAGCATTACAAAACCTGGGTATTAAAGAACTCCAGGATATTAAAAAAATAACCCTTGCGGTGGGGCTCCCCTTGCTCTGCAAGGGTTTACCACTCTTTTTTTGTCTAGGCGACAGAAAAAAGAAGAACAATACCCACCTGATCCTTGGTCCTGTGGCAGTGACCTCTCTCGCCTTCCACTCCAACTGTGGTATGCCCCTTGGTGTCCTCACGTCTAATTGACCTCTATTAGACATGATGACATGGGTCCTTAGACCACTAGAGCCCAATTTAGCAGCAAGGTGGGACCAAGGCTGGGTGAGTATTTCTTCTTTATTATTGCCCCCTAGACAAAACAAGCAGTTGACCCTTGTAGTGTGGGGGTAACCCTACTGCAGGGGGTCATTTTTAAAAATCCTCTATGAAGACCACCTCTGGAAAGAGAACAATTGGCCCTGTACATATGTTGATTGTGGTCACTATTCAGTAACTTTTCCTGAAAGCCACTGGTGAGTGTGAGAGGGTGGCCAGTTTTATAACAATAAACAAGATAGATTACAGATCTGTAAAAAAAACAAACCAAGACAACTGGACTTGCTGTATTTTTTCTTGAAGACGTTTCACTGATCATCTAACCAGCTTTCTCAATTCAGAATGACTTGTACAAAAAAATATCTGGGAATATATGTTGCTCCAATCCACATACTCTGTAAGTGTCAACCAGGTGTTGATTGCATTTGCATAATTGGAATCTAGGAGGCGTTATTAACCTGCACAGAGAGAGGTGTTAAAAAAACATCACATCCCTGTCTTCTCTAAACCCAGCAATACACTGAGGCAACAACTGGTTCACCCAAAAGACCCAAAGCACAAGATGAACAACATTGTGTACGCAGTCCAGTGCAGTGAGGTGTGCTCAGAATTGTATGTCGTAACTAAAATAGCAGCTACACCAGCATATGGCACAGCATAGACGAGCCAAACGCTCTGGTCAGGACTCTAAAGGTGCCCATACACCTTACGATTATCGGACGATTTTCGTATGCGATCGACTTTTCGTCCGATAATCGTATGTGTGCATTGCAGTGTCCGACCGACAATACTGTGCAATCGTACGACTTTTGACAGTCAAGCATGTTTGAAAACTTTGCCCGATCGTACGATTGTCGTAAGGTTGCTGGCGTTTCCGTCCGTCAAAAGTCGTACGATCTGCACTGCGCATGCGCGAACGGAAATACGACAAATCAATTACCGCATTTCGTCCAGGTGCTTTTCGTTAATTACGGCTAAATTAATCTTGCGATCATCGGGGCAGGATGGGGCTGCCGTACGAAAATCGTACGACTATTCGATCATCGGACGAAACGTTTCGTCCCATAATCGTAAGGTGTATGGGCACCTTTAAGGAAAGAGGTCACTCCTTTGAAGACAGTCAAGTACGCATCCTAGACAGGGAGGAGTACTGGTTTATAAGAGGTGTGAAAGAGGCCATTTAGGTATGTAAAATGGAGAAGCCAAGCCTGAATAGGGGGGGGGTGAGACATCTATTGTCTGCCACATACAATGCTGTTTTAACACCTCTGTCTGGGCAGGCTAACACGTCCTCCTAGACTCCAATTATGCAAATGCAATCACCACCTGGTTGTGACTAACATATTATGTGGATTGGAGCGACATTCACCATATTTATTCCCAGAAAATTGTTTTGTACAAGTCATTCTGAATGGAGAAAGCTGGTCGGATGTCCAGTGAAATGTCTTCAAGAAAAATACAGCAAGTCCAGTTGCCTTGAATAACTTTTTACAGATATACCATGACCTGGATGAACGAGAACCTTTACAGACAAGATAGATTACAGCTTTCCCTACACTTCAAAGGAAAACTGGTTTGGCTGCTGGCATCAGAACATCTCTAATAGTCAATATATAGAAAAAGAGACAGTCTCAGAGTCCATCTGGGGAGAGGCTGTCTCAGAATCTCATTTAACATCATTGTCTCTGTGTGTGAAGACAGCTAGATGATACCTACAAATCTAAAACAAGACGTGTGACAAACTGTGTACTCACCGTTAGGGAAGCTTGCCCCTTCCCCACCGCCTTCACCTCAAAATCTTGGTTTACTTTTGTCTGCACAGAGGAAAAAAAAATCACATTTTATCATGATTATAGTCTAGATGTAAAAGCCATAATATCGGTGATCCCCCCACCCATGGAGATCCCTCTACTCGATCCTGCTCCATCATCAGATTTCACTTCTGTCACCCATTCTTAGCCTTATATCCTCCTTAAGTAGTGGTGTCCTCAGGCCCTGATTCCCCACAAGGCCACCGAGGCCAGGCCTCGGGGCGGCATCGGCGTGGAGTCCCCCGACGTTCTGGCCGTTGCTTTCTACATTTAGTCCTGCTTTGGGAAGGCAGGGCTAAATGTAGTGTGGGGAATCTGCTCACTCATTAACAAGTGATTGCGGCGATGTCGCCGCAATCACTTGTAAAATGTGTGCTTCCGTCCGTCCTCCCCCCCGCCCTACTCCCCCACTTACCTCTCTCTGCTGGCTCTGTCTTCGGGACTCCGTCCTCCCCCCGGCCGCCGAGTCTGTCTCCTGTCCTTGCCACCGAAATAAAGAAACAAAAAAAATTAGAACTAACCCTGCCGCCCCTGCCATTCTCTGTAGATTTGGGGAGAGGGGTTCGGTTGGTGGGGAGGGGGCGCATTGCGGAACCTGGCCTTGGGGCGGCAGGAAGAGCAAATCCGGCCCTGGGTGTCCTTACTTTTATGATGTGTCTGCCTGAAACAGCTAGGCTGTAGTCAGCTGACCTTTAATTTACTTTTATAAATTTTGCAGACTTTACTGAGCCCAACTAATAATTGCTTCTGACAGCTACTGTTGAGTAGACTTCAGTAAACTGAGTGAGAAGGATTTGTAGTTGCATTGGGGTTGCCACTGGAGTGACACTATGTACACATCTTCCCCATTCAATCCTACTAATATATAGCAGGGATGCACCGATACCGTTTTTTTGGTATTGGAGTACCGATATTTCTTTTTTTGGTACTCGCCGATACGGAGTACCGAAACCAGGAGTCCCATTAAGGAAGCCGGGCGGTATGTAATGACTCGCAGCCCGGCTTCCTGATAGGTAGCTCCCTGGTGACAAGGGAGCATTGAGCCGGCTTCCCAGCCAATCAGAAAGCCAGGCGTTGTGTAATGACTTGCCGCCAGGCTTCCTGATACAGGGAGCTCCGGTATCGGGATAAGTATTAGGAGCACTTTGGACAGGCACAGGTACTCGCCCAAATATTCGGTATTGACACCAATACCAGTATCGGTATTGGTGCATGCCTAATATACCCATGCATACTCATCTCATTTGGCTTGACGCCAATATATAAATACACACACACACAGTTTATGGTTTGCATACGATAGATAAAAATGTTACATGGCATTTCAAATGTTGCCTACAAATCCCTTGCATGTGTCTTACCTCATCAGATCGGGCATTCAGAGAGTTCTTTAGATTGAGGCGGTATTTAGTGGCGTCTTTCCTCTCTGGAAGCTGAAAGGATATATCCATGTCCAATACTACCCTATCGGCCCTGACCTCCTGGTACTTGGCCAAAGCTTGAAACAGCATGACAATTGTCTAGACATAGAAAGGAGGGACAGGTGTTAATTGATAATGTAACATGGCTAAAGGTGTAAATTGTTATCACATTGATAGGGTAGAGATGTAAATGCTGTGGTGTATTCCTGGCAAGGATTAGAACTAATTAAACTACTTGGATGAGTACCAAAACATCTTCAATATTACAGAACAAGTCCAGCTGAATATGACTAACAAGTATGAAGGTTCATTTCTTAACCTGTATTTGTGGGAGGGGATTATGGCTATATAAACTCCTCCTCTTCTCTTTCCTGCCTGACGTTTTAGGGGAAGCATTTGTCCCCACCCATCCCTCTTCATAACTTAAAATTCCATCACCTTTTCATTTGGTATGCCCCCTTTTAGGCGTACATAACAGCGTGGCCACGGGCACACCTCAGGCCACATTAGCTTATTGGCACAACTCAGCCCACACTATATCTATTATACGGTATATATACCCGACCACAACTACTAGGTTAGCCTTTCTTAACTAGGGTTAATGGGAACCTGGGGTTCTCCATAGATTGCTAGGAGTTCCTTCAGCAGTGAGAAGTTTCAAAATGATACTCTACAGAGTAATTGTCAGGGAAACAATTGAGCCTCTCCTTGTGTCTTTCAGGTAATTGACGGTTAACACCAATTTTTAGCTGTCTATTCTACTTATTTCCAATGTCAGAGGCAACTTCTAGCCTGACAACTATTGTAAGGGGACACTACAATGAGCAAAAAAATATAAAGGGACCCTACAACTGTCACTGTATGTGTTTTTTAGTCAGATTAATTGCTTCAGGTTAACTCCACAGGGAACCCATGGTACACACAATGGTAGCTTCCACCACATTTTTTTTTAAGGGAAATAGTTTGTGTGGTCTTTGATTTCATGCAGAGTACAATCTGTTTGCAGATTATCCAATTGAGATATCAGAGTAACTGACTCTCACAAGTAACTCTTAGCATGCCTACATAGTCTCAATCGAGGTGGGAGCTGCTGCTTTGCAAATGCTGCCATCTTTTCTGAACCCATAAGGCTGGGTTCACACCTAGGCGTATCGAATATGCGCGTTTGTCGGGCGTTTCGTGCCGCGTGTTACCCTGATTTGCGGTAAAAAAAAGTGCGACAAACGCGTGTTTCCAAGGGCTACCCGGCTGTATCCCAATGGATACGCGCGGCAAATACGCCCCAAAGAAGCTCCTGTACTTCTTTGGACGTAGGGCGTTTTGCAGCGAATTCCTACGCGCTGTAAAACACCCAGGTGAGAACCATGCCCATAGGCAATCATTGGGTTTTACAGAGCGTAGGAACGCGCTGTGAAATGCCCAGGTGTGAACCAGGCCTAAGTAAGGACATTTACAGAGGTAATACAAATAATCAAAGGGTCTGACGGGTGCGCTGAAGTAATTCATCATTAAGGCACTCCCTTCATGATCATTATTCTAACTATATCTATATTTCCTGATGACAGGGTTGTACAGTCTGACAACCAACATCTTATTGAATAAAAAAAAAATATTAGGATTTGATAGGCACCAAATATAATAACAGCACTGAATTAATCCTATGTATGTCTTGTGTTCCATCAGCCTTCCACCCAAGTAATATAGGCATGTTTGGTGTCAGTTAGATAGCTATTCTCTTATACATTAGTGTAACCACGTTTAAAAGAGAACTATGGGGTAAGTGTTTTTCCCCATAGTTCTCCTAAGGGTCACGGGAGGACACAAACTAGCGTCCTCCCGTGACCCAAAGCTGAGTATATCGAGAGCTGAGACCGCCGCAGCCGGGACGGATCCCGACATTACTGTCGAAATCCACCCAGCTACGTGATTGAGAGCTGGCACTGCCTATCCGCCAGTCAGCGCTGGAGGATCAGAGAGGGGAGGGGGGGAATCCCTGCAGGGAGCCATGAGTGAGAGTCACGGCTCTCTGCAGGGAGATGATTGAGTGTTCGCTCACCTCCCGATCTATTGAGCCGACGTGTGGCAGTTTCATTGTCACACTATGTCGGCTCGAACTATGAGGTTGAGTGAAAATCACTCCCCTCATAGCTCTTCTTTAATGAACGTATCTCTTTTAAAGCCAAAACTATGGAATATGAACCCAGGTTGACAAATAAAACAGACCAGAATATGTATTGGCTTGTAGAGGGTTTTACAGATTTAGCCCTCGTTCACACCTGAACGTTTTGTAGCACGTTCTACGCTCGACGAACGCTCTACAAAACGCTCAAAAATATAAATCCCATTGTATTCAATGGTCTTGTTCCCACCTTGGCGTATTTACACCCGTCCCTAACGCGCTACAAAACGGCCCACGCCTGAAAAGGTACAGGTACTACTTTGAGCCGTTTTGTTGCGCGTTTCCATTGGGATACAGCCAAGTAGCCTTCGGAAACGCGCGTCGGTCGCGCGACTTTTTACCGCGAATCGCCTAGGTGTGAACGAGACCTTATGGTTATTTATAAAAAGCGCTGCATTAAGAGGAGTTTGCAGACTCTGCTAAGTAGGGTTTACGATACTGCTAGAGGTTTATGACATTCTGCTTTGCATTTAACTTTCTCTACTTTGTGTTAATGTGTCTTAAACCAAGCTATGTTTTAGTGGGGGTTCTGTTTGAAATGTGTTACCTCTCCTCCACAGACATAAGATTTAAATCTGACTGTTTTCGGCACTGTGTTCAGTACGAATTCCCTATTCTCCCCAGTCAGTTTTTTTTTGTTTTGTCAGGCCTCATTATTGCCACAGGGGGTGATCAAAAAAATTATCTGCGCTGGGTGTCAACTACTCTAGGTACGTTTCATCCCTTATTGAACTCCAGGCAGAAATAAAAGACACATATTAATGCATTCCTAATTATTACATTGTTTAATATATTTTCTTAATGCAAGCAATGTAAGTATCTCAATTTGACCCGGTATAAGCCTCCTTCAATCCTTTGTACAGCAGAGCTCAGATGGAGGACAGTGGGAAGCAGCAGAAGGAGCCAATCATCTGTTCTGCAGTGCTCATGTGCTAACAATGAGAGATAAGCTAATCAGTCTGCTACTTCTCCTTTTACTGTCTAGTCACAGGCTGGGGTAAGGACATTCCCTTTAAGTGTTGCTTAATGTGATGTTAAAATCAAAAGACCCGCTCTGAGCAGACGTCCATCTGGCCGTTCACAAACGGCCATGGACGTAAGGTAGTTAAGCTATTTCAAATGCTGAATGAATCACTTAAAATTGATGCTTTTCCTTGATATTTACAGGCTTATTCACAAAAGGGTGAAGAGTTTGGAGAAGGCAGGAGAAGTGAAAAATCTAGGACAACATGGCTGAACTGGAAAGTGAGATGAATAGGAGAATGCTTCCTAATCAGCTATGTTGTCCTAGATTGTTCCCTTCTCCGGCCTTCCCCAAACTCTTCCCCCTTTTGTGAATAATCCTGATACATAGTATTTGAGGTTGAATAAAGACACAGGTCCATCAAGTTCAACCTATTGCGTGTATGTATGTGATTCTGCGTGTGATCTATTTTTTAAGTGTACCTGTACCTCTGTATGTTGCGGTCTCTGAGGAAGTTGTCTAAATGCTTTTTGAATGATTCAGCACTCTCAGCTGATAATACTGCTTGTGGCAACGAGTTCCAGACCCTAACCGCTCTAACTGAGAAGAAGCCCCTATGCCCCTATACCTGTTAAAGTTTAATTTCCTGCAGAATCATCTGGTCCTCTTAACTCTGGCCCTGATATCCTGTTTTAGGATAGCAATGGAGCCACTCTTGTGTCTGCTAGTAAGCTGTATGTGTCTCCATAAACACAGAGGCACAGCAAAGCAAGCCACTCCCTTGCTCCTTCTTTCTCATTCTACCTTCTCCAACCTATTAGTTGAACAGCTAATGGAGATTGTGCTGTCTCTTGTGATATTGTACTCGACAGGATGTTCAGGGAAGCAGAACTGGGAGAGCTGGAGCCATCTTTCCAAACATCTGGAAAGATGTTTGGAAAGATGATGACTAAGTGCTTGGGCAAAAATTGTAAGTACTTTGCTGGGCTATCTTTATTTGTTTGATCTGGGTTCATTGCTGAAATAAAAGTTTGAGAGTTTAATACTTTAATACGCTTTACCTGCAGTAGAGAAAAATCTGGTCTCCTACCCTGCCAGATAGGATGATGCTGTGTGGCAAGACTGTGTATTTATCAGGATTGCATGGCCAAATAAACAAATCCTTTGGCAGGGAAATCAGCTTTTATGTGTGTATTGAACCTGTGTATTTACCAGTTTGCCTGAAGATTAGCATTAAAACCATAGTTGCACACATTTTGGATTACCATGAAGTCTTACTCACTTGTGTTGCTCCATATCTTTCACCAGCAGAATGGGATCTAATTAACCATTGTGCAACAGAATCTGCCAGCTCAAACTCCTCTAGCTCCAGGAGAGTCAGAAGGGCGTATGATGTGGCCTCCAAATCAACTAATTTGCCATATGCTTGTGAATTCCAGAATTTGCTGTCTTTGGCATCCCAGGTAGATTTGTCTAGAACAAAAGGAAATATTCAGCGCTGCTTGTACAAAAAATTGAATTCGATAAAAATACAATTCTAAATTAGATTCAACATTTTTGAGCATAGGGGCATGCTTTTGAACTGCTTTTATCTCCTTACAAGTCAATGGGAGTGCAAAATCAGGTTGACATAGGTTAGAAAAACTGCAGATCAGAAGTAGGCCAAATGGAGGTGTAGGGATGTAGTATTTTTACTCAATTCCTTTTTGTAAATTCTGTAGTCAGCAGTGAGATGTACCTAGCCTAACTGGGTGCAGCCCACTAAGCTCAGAGTGTACTTTCTCTGCTGCATTCTGTGCCAGCGAGATATGATGTTATGCACAACTGAAAGCCTGGCCAATCAGTGGGCCTGGGGAACCTGCTAAGGCATGCTGAGAGAACTATTAGATATCTGAGCCACTTCCTGTTGTGTCTCTTCCCTGCTGGGCTCCTACCCCAGGGATCTCAAGTCTCCCTGATGTTCAGGGAGTCTCCCTCTATTAGATAGCGGCTCCCTGACGTCCGCGAGAGAGGCATTTTCTCCCTGAAAAGTTTACTCTGAGTAAACCTTTCCGGTAAGATATCAGGGGGTAAGGTTTCAGAGTGAGGCTTGCCTCCTGGAGGAAGGTCATGTGATCTCTAGAGACACACTGTGTGCTGTTATTTCATTTAATTAGAAAAGTGGATTATAATGGGGAACATTACACGGTAATGTTGCCTATTATAATCTATTTCTCTGATTTAATGATTAGACAAGGTCACTGTTCTATCAAAGTTTGTGATTGGGTTGGAATGTGTGACCGGTGACGTGGTCACACATTTCAATGTAATCCCGCCCAGTTTTTTGGAGGTGGAATGTGTGACCACCAATAGGTCAAGCATTCCAAAGGTTACACAGGTTAAATGCAACTGTTAATGAAGGAAGAGCTTTAGAGGCCACCAGAAATTCTCATACTTGATTGTTAATTGATGAGAGGAGTGGGGTGGGCTTAGCTCTAGAGGGCAAAGTTATAAAGAAGCTAGAGAGGAGCCAAAGCATGCAGGCATGTAGAATGCAAGCAAGACTGAAGGCCTTCTTTGGGGAATTTGTGAGCAAGGTAGATCAATTGACATACATAGCAGACACTAGGCAGGTGACATACTGTATCTACCCAACTGCAAATTACTTAACAGTCTAGGTGTGTCTAATTCAGTCTAGCTCTCTTCCACTCACCCATGCAGTTGATGACTTCCCCCATCTCTGTGCCACTCCTGGATTCTCTGCAATCACCCTGGCCATTTGACTTTTAGGGGGATCTCTTTAGAGCCTAGGTCCGTGCATTGATCTAATGGTTCTGGTACTGCACAACGTACCTATTGTGTGTTAACACTGCGGGAGGTGCATTGCGTTGCCATTCATTTGAATTTATGAATGCACAGAAATGTTGTTGTCCCGACTCTAGAGGAGGTAGCAGATAGTGAGAGTTGCACTTCTCTTCACTATAAGCAGCTGTACACTGCTTTGCTTACAACAATCCTAAATCGCTTGTCATGTGATTGAGGATGTTTCCATGGCACTTGATGCTCTGAGTGGTGCAAGCAGGCTATGAGAAGGGGAGGATCTGAGGAAAGAGAAAGCAAAATCCTAGAGTGGCCTGGCAGAAGATAAAAGGAAAGAAAAACAAAAAAGGTAGAGTAGAGCCTGCGAAAGTCACCTAAACCGGCTTTTCTCCAATCACAGAGTTCTCTCTTCTGCATTAAATAGAGATTTTCATAGAATATGGTGTACTACATACTGTCCACATCTTATAAATGGGTGGGTGTCTGTATGCAGTAGTACAGTAGTAGACTGTGGCAGAAAACTAGGTCTCTGCAAGACTTCAACCTGTATAAAGCTGCCCCCCTATAATATAATTCCTTCCTCCGTGCTCCCAAACAAACTTATTTTGTAACTCTCATTAACACACTCTCATTCAGACCTCATCAACTCTTTTCTACTTTTAAGTCTCTACTATGTCCCCCACCACCTCCACCTACTAACTCACTCACTGCCCAGGGCATTGTCATTCATTTTAAAAACAAAATAGATACAATTTGGGATCAGATTGCCTCTGTGCAGTCACCTTCCACTATTCATGTTCCAGACCCTCCATCACACTTGTTACTTTCCTCTTTTGACTTTGTCACCACGGGGTAGGTTAAAAAGCTTCTCTCTGACACCCACCTCACCACTTGCCCCCTAGACCCTGTTCCTTCACCACTACTTCGGTTACCCTCTGGCTCTATCCTACACTCTCTTACTCACATATTCAATCTTTATATTGGCATCTTTCACTCCCCTCTAAGCATGCACTGGTCACCCCAATACCCAAAAAACCTTCACTGGACCCAAGCAACATCAATAATCTCAGACCTATTTCCTTACTCCCATTCACCTTCAAACCACTAGAGCGCCTTATATACAAGCGTCTGAGTCGCCACCTCGCTAATAACAACCTTCTGGACCCCTACAGTCTGGCTTTCGCCCCCTACACTCCACTGAAACTGCCCACCTAAAACTCACTAATGACTTACTAACTGCTTAAAACAATGGCCACTACTCCTTACTCTGACCACCCGCTAATCCTTACTCTTACTATTAGACCATTCTGCTGCTTTTGACACTGTTGACCACCCGCTACTCCTCAAAAAACTCCACTCGCTTGGCCTACAAGACTCTGCTCTCTCATGGTTCTCCTCCTAGCTAGCTAAACGCTCCTTTAGTGTCACCTACAAATCTAACTCCTCCCCTCCTCTTCCTCATTCTGTAGGGGTCCCCCAAGGCTATGTCCTTGGACCCCTCCCTTCTTTTTTCTATCTACACCTCCTCTCTTGGTCAGTTAATAACCTCAAATGGCTTGCAATACCATCTCTATGCCGATGACGCTCAAATATATCTTTCTACTCCACAACTCACCCCATCAGTGTCCTCTCGTGTCACTAATCTACTAACTGACATATCCATCTGGATGTTGCAACACTTCTTAAAACTCAACCTTTCAAAAACTGAGCTCATGATATTTTCTCCTGCCCGTGCACCTTCCCCCAACTTTTTCCTTGAGATTGATAACACAACTATCCATCCCTCCCGCCATGCCAAGGTGCTAGGTGTCATCCTGGACTTGGATCTCACCTTTCTTCCCCACATCCAAACACTATCCAAATCCTGCCGCCTTCACCTTCACAACATCTCCAAAATACGCCCCTTCCTCACCAATGAAACTGCAAAACTACTCATCCACTCCCTTGTTATCTCTCGTCTTGACTATTGCAATTCCCTCCTCATTGGCTTACCTCTGCACAGGCT